AGAGCATGAACGGGGGAGGGTCAGAGAGAGAGGGAGACACAGAATCGGAAGCAGGCTCCAGGCTCTGAGCCATCAGCCCAGAGCCCGATGCGGGGCTCGAACTCACGGACCGCGAGATCGTGACCTGAGCTGAAGTCGGACGCTTAACCGACTGAGCCACCCAGGCGCCCCCCCAAAAAAATAAATAAAAAATCTTGAAACAGGTAGCTCAGGGGGTTAAGCATTGGACCTGGGCTCAGGTCACATGATCTCACGATTTGATTCATGCATTGGCGCCCTGCAAGGGGTGAGTTCCAGCCCCGCACTGAGTGAGCTCGAGCCCCGCTTCTGGTGAACACAAGCCCTTCTTTCGGTGAGCTCTACTTCTCTCTCTCTTTCTCTCTCTCTCTCTCTCCCCCCGTCTCCACCCCTTGTGGGATTCTCTCTATCCTCTCTCTCTGCCCCTTGCTCACTTGCACCCTTTTGCTCTCAAAAAAAAAAAAAAAAAAGTAATAATAATAATAATAATAAATAAATAAAACTCAAAAACAAATTAAAGATTCATGTAGCAAACCCAAATGTGGAACCTTATTTTTCCCTCTAACACAAAAGGTAGCATAATCCCCTACAAATGGTTCTGTGCCTTTTTTTTTGGTTTATTAATCTATCTTGGAGATGGTTTCACATCAGTACAGTAAGGGAGGGCTTCATTTAACATTTTTTCTGTGTTAACTAACTGCACGTGTTTATATTTATCGGCACACACATTCACACACATAGACTTGCCGTGGCTGCGTAGGATTCCAATGTGTAGATGTTCACAGGATTATTTCACCAGTGCCATGCTGATGAATGCTGCATTCTGATTCTTTACGCAAGGCCGCAAGGGATAACCTTGCACATCCCTCTTTTTGCCCAGAGGCTGACATATATCTACATGATCAGTGCCTGGAATGGCCAGGCCTATGAGTCACGATGGATGGTCATAATCGTTAACACCGTAAGGCCATCAGTTCATCTCTACGGAGCACATACCGTGCTGGAGGCCCTTGGCGTGTATAAAATAACTCGTTTCCGCCTCCCAACAACCGCAGGTGGCTTAGCATTATTATTATCCCGTTTTGTAGAGAAGGAAACTGAGGCACAGAGGGACTGAATAAGCAGCCCAAGGCTGCACAGCTAGTAAATGGCAGAACGGGGATTCATTCAAACTTGGCCACTCCGATTATTAAGACCTCCCTTGTGGACCAGGAGATCGCGTCTGCCTTTCCACGGCAATGATAATTTCGATTAATACTGCCAACTGCCAGGAAGGAGGCCTTTCTTTGAATGTCCTTTTGAATCTGGGGCCGGGTGATTAACTATGATCCGCTCCAACAACAGCAACAGCAATAATAATAACGACCGTCAACTAGGCTAACTACACGCACGCGAATCCCGGGGGCGGGGGACCGCGACACCCCACCCCGGGCCCCACCTCGATGGCGGGCAGCGTCTTGCTCGCCTCCGTGCTGCTCTCCCCGAGGATGCTGCCGGCCGAGCGGCCCTCGCACTCGTAGCGGAAGCGCATGCCGCGCTGTTTGGGCTGCTCCGTGATGACCAGGTGCGGCCGCGGCCCGGGGCCCGGGGCCGGGGGCAGGATCCGGCCCAGGGGACAGCCCCAGGGCGGCGGCGTGGCCGGGGGCGGGGGCGCCGCGGGGCCCAGGGTGACGGTGCTCAGGGAGGCGGCCCCGCGAGACACCAGGCGCGGCAGTCCCTCGCCCGGGCCCGGCTGCGCCCCCTCCAGGCCAAAGCCGTTCTCCTTGATGTACTCGTCGATGATCTCTGCGGGAGAAGCAAAAACTGGGGGTGACGCTGATTATAAAAGGGATGGCTCGGTGACCCTCCCTCCCCACCCCCGCCCCGAGACCTGTGCCGCCCCGCCTTCCCTAAGCCATTCCTTTCTTCACAAACATATTTCTTGGGGCGCCTGGGTGGCTCAGTCGGTTGAGTGTCCGACTGGGGCTCAGGTCATGATCTCTCGGTTCAGGAGTTCGAGGGACTGGGCTCTGTGCTGACAGCTCAGAGCCCGGAGCCTGCTTTAGATTCTGTGCCTCCCGCTCTCTCTGCCTCTCCCCTGCTCACACTGTCTCTCTCTCTCTCAAAAACAAATGAAACATTAAAAGTAAAATAAAATAAAATAAAATAAAAACATATTTCTTGTGGGCTGAGTGGGGGGGGGGGGGGGCTTGGCCCCAAACACCAAACAAGTCCCTACCCCTCCTTCTTGCAAACAGCTCCCCAGTTCTTGAAGCCAGAAACCTGGGGACCTGCCTGGTCTCTCCTCCTGCACGCTCACATCCACTCCCCTCCCTAATAGCACCTGAATTCAAGTCTCCATCACCTCTCACCTGGATAAAGGTAGGGCCAGGTAACAGGTGTCCCTGCGTCCAGCTCACCCCGTTTAACAATGGCAAAAATAACAGCTGTTCTGCCTCAGAGAGCAGCCCCACCGTCCAAATGCTCAAGCTGGAAGGATGCGCCTCTTTGTGGGTTGCTCACCATCCCCCAGCTGTGTCCCGTCCTTGAACTTCTGCCTCTTGCCTCAAACACGTATTTACGCTTCTCCCCACACCCCTGCGTCCATCCTGGTCCACCCTCACGGTCTCCCCTCGAACCGCTGCTCCCGTTCGCCACCAGCTCACCTCCTCAGCCTGTCCCCCACGCACAGCCAGAGGTATCTCATGTCAGATCTTGTCCCCCCTCCCGTGGCGCCCACCTCCCTTACAGTCGAAGTCCATGTCTTCCCCATATAACCCCCCCCCCAACTCTATTCATCTCAGAAAACAAAAAACAAAAAACAAAACCCCACAACCCGGACCCCTCCGGATCCCTGCCACAGGGCCTTGCATGGACGGGTCCCTGTGGTCCTGGGTCTCCCACCACCTCCCTGTCACCTAGCTCTTTTCTCTTGCTCCCAGCAAAACTGGCCCTCTCTGGGGGGGTTTGTGCTTGTTCCCCATCTGCCTATTCCATCCAGCCCACACTGGTTTCTCATCCTTCTGGTCACAAATGCCACGCCTTCAGAAAGGCCACTCTAATGTGTGTCTTCCCAGGCCATCTGTTTTTCTTTGTGTTATTTCCTTCACAGCCCTTAGCCCAATCTGACATTATCTTGCTCATTTATTCCTTTTCCTACTGTCTCCTCCACTAGAGTGTCAGCTCCAGGAGGGTGGGGACCTTGTTTGGTTTGTGGGTGAATCCCCGGGGCCTAGAACAGTGCCTGGCACATGACGGGTGCTTGAAACAACTCACCGAAATAATTAACAACGGTCACGGTAATGGTGACACGAAAGGCAGCTGGCGTGCGGAGTCATTTCTAATTATCAAGCACTGCTAATACCTTGGGAACGTGACCGTTAAAATCCCCTGGCGGTCCTAGATGTCACGCTGTGACCCTCCCCCTGCCCAACAGCAAGGGAGGCCAAGATCCCCCACTGTGAGAACTTGGACTCCTCAGCCTCCCCCCAGACCTGCCCTGTGATACTCACCCAATTCATCTGTGGAAGGAAGAGAAAGAGAAAGAGAAAGGTGAGGTCCAGAAAGTGCTCAAGACTTTGATCTTTTAAGACAGATTCCCCAACCCCCTCGCCTCACGGAACCCCTCCCTTTCCCCCTTCCTCCATCCCGGGAAACTGGGCTCCGACTCCCTGGGGTACCAAACCCCAGCCCCTGTCTTATCCTCTTGGGCTACCCTCCCCTCCCCCGCTCAGCTCCCAATATTGGAGCCCCAGGGTCAGGGTACCCTCAAGTGCCTTCTAAAAACCGGGAATTATAAAGCATCATCGGGAAGGAAGCCGAAGATCTTATCACTGGGAAAAAACTCAACATCCAAGATTCTAAACTGAATGTGGGGGGGGTGGTTCCCTCCCTAAAGCCCACCACAGAACCCCAAGGCTCTATACTAGCTAGTATCTGAAGATCCAAGGAAGTCGGTCCTTCACCTCCAGGCATCCACCTGCCCTGCACCCCGGCCCAGTCCCTCAGCAAGGCCCACCCACCATCCCAGATTCGCCCCCTGAGTGGGGAGAAACAGCAATGCTGGGGAAGCCCTTTATCACCTCCTCAGGGAGGCTCTGTCCTGAACGGGGCCAGGGAGAAATTGAAACACGCCTCCCATCATTCCATAGACAGGATGAGGGGAAGGCCGGAGTGAGCAAGCCTGGGCTTACACCGTGAGGGAGGGCAGTGGTCTGCTGCCGGTCGTAGACGTATCGATGCCAGCCTGCCTCACTGCCAGACCTGTCCTCTTCTTCCTCCTCCACTCTCGGGGAGTGGCTCCTGTCAGCCACTGCCACCTGGCAGTTTGCTCCTCGGAAAGCACTTTACCTGCTCCCCTTATCTCATGTGATCTTTGAAGTCAGCAAGGGGGGGAGGATCCCCCCCCCTCACTTGATAGCTGGGGACACTGAGGCTAGGAGAGAAGAAGGGACAGGCTGTAGATCACTGGCAGGGCCAACCTCCAACTTGGAACAACTTTCTTAAGCATCTATGCTGGACGGCCTGGGAACCCCAAGATGAGTTAGACTTTGGGGCCCTCAAGGAGCTCCCAGGCTGCAGGGGGAAACTGAGGCCCAGGAGGCAGTGGCCTGAGCTTTGGACTGCTTCAGCTCAAATCTTGGCTCTGCAACTTGCTAACTGTAGGGACTTGAGCCCATTACTTAACCCCTTTGGGCCTTGGTGTCTTCACCTGTAAAATGGACACAATAATAATGCCTCGCTGGGCTGCTGTGAAAATCAAATGAGCTAATACGTGGGAAGCACTCAGAACTGTCACAGTTGTAGGAAAGACATAAATGCTGGCTGCTCTTGGATAAAGTATTGGGAGACATTATATTATGGACTTAGGTAACCCGCTCTCCCTTTCTAGGCCTCGGTCCATCTGTCTATATATAAAATGAAAGGGTTGGAAGATGTGCTTTCACAACATGGGGTGTAGAGTCACCCAGATGTTGGTTTGAATCCTATCTGTCACTCACTGGCTGTGCAGCCTTGGGAAAGTCTCTCAACCTCGCTGAGTCTTTTTCTCTGAAACATGAGGTCTGAGCTCCTATCTCAGGAGTTAACATGAGGATTCAGAATCACACAGGTCAATTGCTCAGCACCGTGTCTGAGCCCTGTGTCATAAAGCTTAGCTAATAGTATTATTATCTAAAATCCTCTTTCAGCCAGGAAACGCTGGGACCTTCTCCTTATTAAAGGCTCAATTCAAATAACCCCCTACCCCACCTCAACCTCCCACAGAGACCTGCCAAACCATTCGGGGACGGCCAGGATGGGCCCCCTGTCTTTCCTGCCTCAGGGCCTTAGCACAACCTGCTCTCCGCCAGAATGCTCTTCCTCCGTTTCTCTGCGTGGCCTCCTCCTCCTCCTTCAGGTCCCTGCTCAAATGTCGCTTACTAGATGGGTCTTCCCTGACCACTTTATCCCTGGTCCCTTGCTCCAGTCACTGACAGTTACATACCTTCGTTTTATCATTTTCATGACACCGATTAGGATTTGACATGACTTTGCATTAAGAGACTCACATCTCTCTCCTCCTGCAGACTGTGAGCACCTCGGAGTAGGGAACATGTCTGCCCTGTCGCACTGTATACCCAGGACCCAGTACGTGGCTAGCCCGTCAGAATGAGGGAAAATTTCCCTCCCACTCTGTCCTGGCATTTAGGGCTCTCATTCTTACCCTGCTGTTAGATATCACTGGCCCCGAGACCTCTTCAGAGCCTTTATCACATTTTATAGTCCTGCATTTACTTTATTGCCTACGTGTCTGCCTCCACATCTAGGGAGGGAACCTAGGAGGGCAGAATCAGGGCCGTCTCAGTCACTACTGAGTCCCCAGCACTGCCCGGCACAGGGCCAGCTACAGAACAGGCACTCGGTAAATATTTATCGAAGAGATGACATCACCAGTGACTCTCAATTGAAACCAAAGATCTAGGTCTTGCACCAGAAAAACGTCAGTGCTCGGGCGGTACCTGTCCCCAGTGCCATGCCCCACCTTTCACCGCTGTCCAAACTCTCAGCCCTGTTAGAGAACCCGCTGAGCCTCCTCCACGGCCAGGCCAGCGCTTGGCAGGTCCATCCCAAGGATCTACCTCCAGACAGAGGCCCAGCCCCAGCCCACTAGGGCCAACTGAGTTTTCACGGTGACAGGATTCAATCAATCCCTGCCCTCGAAAGCCCAGAAGATTTCTAGGAGAGAAGATGTTGTCATTTAGCTATGATTCTGCGTTGTCTTGGGCAGCAATGAATTTTGGATGGCACTGGCTGAGGGGCCGTACAGACTAGTGGTTCTCAGCTTCTTTTTGGGAACTTGCTAGAAATGCAAACTCTCAGGGCCGCTCCTAGACCTACTGAATCAGAAACTCTAGAGGTAGGGCCCAACAATCTGTTTTAACAAGCTCCCTGAATGACTCTGATGAACACGGAGGTTTAAGAGCCATGGTTACAGGCTCTGTAACAACAACAACAGCGGCAGCAACAACAGTAAAAGCCATTAACAGTTAACACTTACGGGGACTTTACTGTGTGCCAGAAACTGCTTTGCAGACCTGCCTGTATCAGCTCATTGAATCCTCTCAATCCCCGCCACCAAAACGGAGGCACTGATATTATGTCCATCTTACAGATGAGGCAAACTGAGGCCCAGAGAGGGGAAGTGATTTGCAGGCACTCACACAGGGAGGAGGTGATGGGTGGCACCAGTGTGTAATTATTACCCTCTGCACTGCCACGGTAAGTCTCTAAAGAGGACTCCTCTTAGAGGGTGAATAGGTGGTTAGTTTTACCTGTCCAGCTCCTAATCACCCGGGAGGTAGGGGCATCTGGGGCCCCCATCTCAACCGGCGGGGATGAATACAGGTGGTCAGAGGAAAGCTGAGGTGGACCTGGGTGAAACCCCAGACAAGAGGCGTGCCCAGTGCCCCCTCCACAGGACGCCCCCCTCCCCCGTCCTGAGGGCGCAGGTGGGCCGGAACTGTGGAGGGCTGCTCACCCGTGGTCCTGGAAACGGCGAGCGAGAGCGTGGAGAGGTCAGCGGACCCTGCAGGGAGGGAGGCGTGTCTCAGGAGGTAACGCGGCGGCTGCGGGGGGGACCGGAGAATCTCCCAGGCCCCACCCCGTTCCTCTCGTGGCCCCGCCCCTTTGGATCACGCCCCTTCTGCCTTATTGCGTGCAGGGTCTGGCCTTCCTTCTCCAACTTCTGGATCCGTTCCCCAGTTTCTGTCATTCTCACCACCCTCCATCACAGTCAGGCCGGCTCCTTCTCTTTCTCAAGGGCCTGGAGGAGCCCTTAACCTCAGTTAGGAAAGCCCCCACTCCGTCCTTTCTCTCAGGATCAACCCTCCCCCTTCACTTTTTCAGTGTCACCCAGTCCCCTTCTCCCTCTCAGACCCTGCCACTTCTCTCCAGAGGCAGGCCCCACCCCCCTTTCTTCTCCGAGGCAGGCCCCGCCCCTCTTTTTTTTCGGAACAGGCCCACCCCCTTTTCCCGGGCAGAGTCAGGCCCCGCCCCCTTACTCTGAGTACGACGCCGCTTCCTTCTTAGAGTTAAGCTCCGCCCCCTCCTTGCTTTCAGAGTCAGGCTCCGCCCCCTTCGGTGAGCGAGAACCCTCATTTTCGCCCTCGGTGAATCTGTCCACGCCCCCACTCCGCAGGAGCAGCTCCCGCCCCGCCTTCTCCGAGTCGGGCCCCGCCTCCTCCTCTGCCTCAGGGTCAGGCCCCGCCCCCTTCTCACTCTGTAGTGGGACGCCTCCCTCTTACCTTGGGCTGGACCCCGTCACTATCCTCTGTCTCCTTCCTTCCCTCTAATACAGTGTCCCCGGAACCCTCAACCTCGCCCCCCCAAACGTTTTAGAGTCCCGTAGGAACCCCCAGACTACTCCAGGACCCTCCAGAACCCCTGTATCTCCAGTCCCGCCCCAGACTCCTCTCCCGAACCCCGGTCCCGCTTACCCAAGGCCCCCAGCTCCGGCGCAGCGGACGGTCTGGCGACGCGGCGACTCGGCATGGCCCGACCAGTGGGGACGGACGGCCCGGAGGCCGGCCCAGATCAAAACACACACGCGGGCAGGCCGGGCGGCCAGAAGGCACGGTCCGGAGGACGATCGCGGGTCGGGCGAGCGGCGCAGGGGCTGGGGCCACAGGCCGGGCTGGACGCGCGGCGCCCG